GCTTCACTGAGTTACGCAAGCCCCTTCGCCACGACAAGGCAGTGATCCATGAAGGGGTACACACAATACTAGTTATCCAGTATTATACAATAATTCTGTTCCAGCTTACATACAAATTTGACTTGAGGACAGACCTTGGGAACAGAACTCGTTCTTAAAACTGGGAACTACCTGTATTTCGCATATTATCTACATGTACCGGAGACAGGGTTTCTCAGTGACTGCAAGGAAGTCTCTTCTTGCCCTCATTGATGACTTCCACTGACAGGCATACACTTTTTATTCAAGCACAATTTGGGCTACTGAACCGATTCATTCTGTGTCTCAATCTTAGACATATTTGTTGTTTTTAGCTAGGTGCCTTTTTTAGTATCTCTCCTATACATGATCTGTATGTGGTAGAGGTGTTCTGTGGATTGATTTTATCTCTCTCCTAGTGTGTGTGAGAGGATGGATTGGTTTGGCCTGCCAACCACTTTAGGAAATTTTTTAATGAAAAGTCAGCACATAAATTTAATAAAAATGTATATTGGATGACTTACTGTTCTGCATCATATCTTCTTGATCACTTCAACTCATTTTCAAAGCAGAGGACATATCCAACATTAATAGGAATTGCCTTTGTTATTTCCATTGTCACTGAATGGATTTTAAATTTTTAAAATTATTTTGTGGTAAACTAATAATCAGACATTTGAAGAAAATATGCTGATTTCTTTTTGTGTTTTATGTTTCAGAGGATGGGGAAATTGAAGCAATAGTTGTTCCTGTCTGTTTAGCATTTCTGCTATTTACTTTATTGGGTGTGTTATTTTGCTTCAACAAACGAGATATGTAAGTATCCTTAGGGTGCTGTCTTGTGTACCACTGCATATTCATGCAGAAAGTCAACTGTGTGTCATTCTTGATTGAGCACAGGGAGGGCTGCAATGGTGTTTGAGCAGTGGGTTAGAGGCAACATTTTAGAATCAAATCAAGTAGAGAAATATAAAATAAAGTGATAGGATAACATGAAATTTCTAATTATTTAATTAAATTATTGTTTAATCAATCAATAATTGAATATATTAATTATAAATTATATAAATGATTTAATTATATAATTATTTGTTTATATACATTTGTTTTATTTTTTTCCTCCTGCATAATTAATTTTCTGTAAATAAACATATTTCTTAACACCCCTTCTCCTGAAAAATAAGGGGTTTATAAAGGGGGATGAGTAGTAAAATAGTGCATATTTCCTTTTTTTAATCTTGCCTTATCCAGATATCACTTTGGCTGATAGCAAAAGAGGTCATATGTCTGTCAGATACAAACTTTAGTGTGGATCTCACTCCACTCAATTGTTGCTGCTGCTTTGGCAGCAATTAACCTCTCCTGAGGGAGGGATTTCTGCAGTAGTGAAAGCTTTGTCCCTCATTCAGGGAAAACGCATGTAGGCGTATGTAGGTACAATCCTGTGAAAAAGAATTCAGTCCCTTTTATTTTCTGAATGTTTACCTATGTTTGCCACTGAATCTTGTCAGAGTGTTATGCTCATTTTAGTTTTGAGTGAAGAAATAACACCATCGTTTGGAGCTTGTTTCGTTTATTTTGCAAATAGTCATCTAGCGTGCCATGGGCCAGTGTCAAAAACTATACAGAGTTTTGGAATGACTGGTTAAAGTTTGGGCCTAAACCCTGTCAAAATACTGTTGTAAGACCTGAGACAAGCATTTCATGCTAGAACCTATTCGAAAGTTACTAAGTTGAAGCCACTTGCTATGGAGGATTGGGCCAAAATCCCTACACCGCAACATGGGAGACTGGTTTACCTATTACAGAAAGTCCTTGGTTGCAGTTATTGCAGCAAAACAACAAATTACTCATCTAAGAGGATGGTTATTTTTTAGAGAGACATATCACATGTTGGATAACTTTGTTTAGGAAATAAATGAATGACACACCAAAGTTTGGTGTTACTTGTTCACTCAGACTCCTTCTATATTTCACTCAAACCCTTGTGAAGCTGAAATAGTATTCAGTTGCAACACCAATTCAGAAAAATCCAAAATAGAATAAATGTTTTTCACAGAAATATATACAAGTTGAGTAGCTTTTACATGTTTGAAGGCTATTTTGTCATTTCCTCAAAATAAAAGGAATACTGAAATATTCTTCTGAGGGAAGGAGAGTGATACTAGTTTGTCAGATCCAGCCAGAGATCTGGAAAATATATTGCCCCTTTTTCTCTTCATAATCATTATCCTCATTTGCCTGCAGTCATTAGTACATATTAATATATGTGTCTGCATGTACATATGATAGTTTAAGGTTGTCTGTTAGATTTATATTCCACCTTTTCTTCAATTCAAGGTTGCATACATAACACTTCTTCTTCCAATTTTTTGCTTTTTTTTATTTTTTTCCCCAGGATTAAGAAACACATCTGGCCTAATGTGCCTGATCCTTCAAAGAGTGTGATTGCTCAGTGGTCACCACAAACACCAGCTAAGGTAAAAGGAAGAAACAAAGTAAGATTGTAAGCTAATTAACAAAAGCATAAAAAAAGAATGGGAGAGGCAATTTTTACTATTAGCTCCCCATGTAATGTCCTTCATTGTTCTAAGCAGCTCCCCCCAACTCCCTGGGGCCAATTTATAGAGAGTTGGCAGAGTTGCTTGGGGAAATTGAAAAACAGCAAAATATCTCCTCCTTCCCCATTCTGTCAGCCTACATGCTTCTTTGAATCAAAAGGTTTTCATGGAGAAAAGAGTCTGTTGCATTTAATGAAGGATTTGATTGGAATCCAGGCCAAATTTTCAACTAAATGCAGAAATGGAAATGTTTTCATATATGGTATATATTTAAAAAAAACAATCCTAATATGTTAGAAGCTTCAGCATATAATAACCTTATTTAAAAGAATCAAAAGAACACATTTTACATCTGCAGAATTTTCAGGCATGTACAAAGAATAATGCAGAAGTTCTGGTATGACTTTAGTATGCGAAATGTTTCTTTCTCAAATAGTGTATTATAGTAATGTGATTTAAGTGAGATAGAGACAAAGGTGAAAGGCCAAGGAGCACAACATTAATTTACTACTTGAAGAAGCTTGACTTTCTGACAGAAAGAAAGGAATGATGAATGCAGACTAAAGATAACACCAAATGAATGTAGATTTGACTTAAAATCAAGTTGCATCGCAGCTAGTTATAATGAGATTTTTGTCTTTTTTTTTAGCATTTTAATTCAAAAGAGGAGATCTATCCAGAGGGCAGTTTTACTGATGTCAGTGTTGTAGAAATTGAAGCTGAGGACAAGAAATCCCTTTCAGAACAAGATCTGAAGCCTTTTGACTTGCTTAGAAAAGAGAAGAATGCCTCAGAAGGTCACAGCAGTGGTATAGGAGGTTCATCCTGCATGTCTTCTCCTCGACAAAGTGTTTCGGATAGTGACGAAGGGGAACCTGCTCAGAACACTTCCAGCACTGTGCAGTACTCAACTGTAATACCCAGTGGCTATCGGGATCAGATACCTTCAGTGCAAGTCTTTGCCAGGTCTGAATCTACACAACCTCTCTTAGATTCAGAAGAGAGACCAGAGGATCAACAGATGCTTGGAAATGACAGCTCAACACCCAAGCATCGCTATTTCAAACAAAATGGTAGCTGGGATGACACAGCCACAGATTTTGAAAAAGCGAAGCAGATTTCTCCAATAAGTGAGGAAGATACTGCTGGGCTTTCAGCATCACAAATGGGTGGATCTGGCCCAGAAACAGATGAACAGGGAATGGTCTTAGTAGGCACATTTGCTCCCAGCCTAATGGAACAGGCTGCACAGCTTGAAAATAACACAATAGATGTAACAAATGAAGAGATGTCCAAAAGCTACCTTCCACAGACTGTAAGGCAGGGTGGTTATATGCCCCAGTGAAAAGAAGAGAGACTGTTATGCCATTGTACTGATAAGTTGAATTGTTTTTAAAATCTTGCTTCAGGTGAAAAATCAAGCTCATTTATGGAAGCCAATGTGGACAACATGGGATTTCGGAAATTTGAATAGACTTTTAATTGGAAATTTCCAGACTTACACTGAATTTTTCCTTCAAGCACTACATATATTCAACTTTGGAGACATGTTTATTACATTTCAGTTTTGTCCTGGGCATTCCACTTTGTTTTTAATGTAGCATATAAGGCTTCATTCATTTTCATAAAGATATAGGCCAGGAGTTGATGATTGCGAATACTTCCCTGCAGTTAAGACTATAAGAGGTTAAACAGTACGTTATGAATGTTCCATTTGTGATAATCTAGCACCAACTTTTCAAAAATAGTGTTTTAACTACAGTGAGAGTTATCCAGAGGTAAACAATTTACTGCCTATCTGGTCAAATGTAATTGCTTAAGGCAGAATATAAACATTTCATGGTTCTTAACATATCCCCATAATTAACTAACTAGAAATGTTTCATTTGCTTGGGGGCCTTCTCTGCCCCTAGCATGCTGCTTGTGTCAGCTGCATTAATTGAATGCATTATTTACCAGCTATTTGAATTATGATTATGTCAAAATGTTGACTGCCAATATTTCATGTTGACTTTTGACTGCCAGTATTTCATGCCTTTTGTATCTTGCAATTTGAGCCATATCTACAGAAATGTAAATACTATATTTGGGACTCAATCCTATAAAGTTAAATCTGTGTGTATGCTTATTTTTTATTACCATATGATCAGAATTAGAGGACAGTTGTTATTAAAGAGGAATGAATGCTGTTCTTTTGCTAACTGCTAAAATGCCAGGTTCTGGTATTCCTTCCTGTCTGTATTTATGAAGGCTACCATTATGTATAGAAACAGCACAGCTGGGTTGTTGAGGAAACCATGCTGAGTCATAGTCTTCATATTTTGCAGTTTTGTTCTCTCTGACCTATGAAGGAATTTATTTCCTGAAAATATCAGATCTTTTGGTTCATACAAATTTATTAATAATCTGTTTCTTTTCCCACAATGCATTAATAGCCTGAATGTGATTTTGATGCAGTCCAGGAACACTAAAATTGTATAAGAATTAAAGTTTATTTGATCATTTCTTAACAATTTCAGTATGTGTATATATTGAAACTTTAGTGGCAAGAGATCATCACCCTGATCATTTTCATGATCATCTTTTGTTTCTGAGGAGGTGCTACCAAGCGGTAGTTGACATTTATGCAGGAGACAAGATGGTGAGTTATATACCATAAGCTCAAAATGCAACCACAAATATCTTTTAATTATTTTCAAAGTGTTTCATCTAGGAATTGATTCTGAACACAGGTGCATTGCCATAGCCTTTTATGGCCTTATTTTACTCTGCTTTTTCTGCATGTGTTATAGTAATATTTTCATGCTTAGAAATGAAGTGAATGCCAGCCTATTTCATCAACAGTCTATTATGATTTGGCTCTTCACAGTTTGTCTTCTCTTTTCCAGGAATGTAAATCATTTTTGAAACTTAACAGCTTAATGCCTATTCATTGAAATTATCCTACACTAAACCCTAGAAAATGAGTGGAAATTGTTCATTGACAAAAACAGAGTAAATTGTAAACATAAGCCATGATGGAAGGGTCACTCTTTAATAGGCCAGGCTATCTTTTTCTACAAAAAGTCGTCATAATAGAATATCTTATCTCTTTCAGAGTTGTCCTCAAGTTTCCAAGCGTAATGGAAAAACTCAAGTCCCTATCTTATCTGGCCACTAGGGTAGTTGGTTCATTGTTTTGTGTCTCCTTACAGCAGATTAAATGTTATTACTGCAGGTGAAAAACTCCTATTAAAGTTTTAACAGTGCTTCTCAACTGCTTATGTGAACCTCTATTGTTGAAAGCTTTGCAGTCTACCATGTAAACAAGCTATTTTGAATATGTTTCCTCTTAAGTATAGCAGATAAAAGCCACTGATTCATTTTATAATTCCTACATTCTAATTGTGGAATGGATAGAGTGTTCATTGACATTTAGCTTTTGTTGTTCAGTCGTTAAGTCGTGTCCGCCTCTTCGTGACCCCATGAAGCATATCGCGCCAGGCCTTCCTGTCCTTCACT